CAATAAGCATTTCCAGCACAATCCAGGACAGGATCCACCCCAAGGAGCAGCGGTCATGGGGCTTTCAGAATGCAATTTGGGACATGCAATTACAACTATTCATTTTAAATCACATAAATGAAAGCACATAACCAAAATTTTTTTCTCGTTCGCTCTCTCTCACACACACACAGGTGAGAACTAATTTCCCAACCCCAGGGGGGAAGAAAGGGGGGGGGGGGTGGGGAAGCTTCCCATTGATCCACTGTTCCATGCTGAGGTAAATATCGAGATTGACGTCCTACTCTCTGGGCCTGGCAAATGTTCCTCTTTGTGTTTCATAGGTGTCGCCGATACGTTCATGCCTTGCAGTCTGCTATGCGCAAAGCCAGTCTCCATGGAAACCATGCACACTTACATTTTTGAAACTGAGCACCATTCAGCTGAACATTATTTCACCATGTCAGCTGCTTCTCGGTCAGTAGACTTCAAGTTAGTTCTCATCGGGAGCGCTGGGCCTGTGATGCGGGACCAAACCTGCCTAAACTCACTGGTATACAAATGATTAAAAACGACTTAAAGGCAAACTATAATCACTAGTATTCATTCACCACTTTGGTCTTTGAAGTAGTTCTGTGTTGTTTAGATTGATAGTTTGCAACAGTCATTGCTTCAGAAAATAAAGAAAAAAAAGCTATTTCAGTCAGCCATGACCAAATGGGAATACCAATAGACCCCAGAAATGTGCCAACACAGATCCCTGTGGAGAAGCTCATCAAATGAAAACTGGACCTTTACACCTTAAAACTGATTTTTTTTTCTTCTCCCCAGTACCTGCCTTGTAGCAACAGAGTGCCTGGGTCCTTGGCAGATGCTTCTTGTTTGCAGAAAGTGATGATCCTGTCCTGGATTCCATCTTACACTGTTTTCTTTTTTTGTATTAGCAAACGCAGGTCATACCTTCATATCAGTGCATCTTGGTGATGTCACACTCCAACCAGTGCTGCTGCTTCTCTCCCCACGTGACCTGCGAAGTAACCCTGGCCAGTAGATGTGGGGGGTAGTTAATAGACAGCAGAGTTTATGAAGGAACTTCAAACACCCAGATAAGATGGGGATCTTTCCTCTATCATACATAACAATTCTGCAATATACTGGATTACGGAACTTAACCCAAGTACAGTACAGTCTCATTGAGATCTTTTATTTTTTTTTTCCAGTGATGCAAGTTTGTTTCCCATCAGAAAATATTTGTTCAGTACAAAAATACTTTAAATGTAATTACTGGAGAATTTTTAATCTAACCACAGTTCAGTGATACAGTTTACAGGGGGGAAAAAAACATATGAACTGATTAAACAATCAACAATCAAGTGATTTTACAGAAATTACATGTCCACTGCAGAATCTACAAAAAGCTATGGAATTATTTACCACAAATACCTGTGTGCTTAAGGCAAGAAGTGTGGTAATACATTTCTATTACCTCACATACTTTCTTGGAAAAAAGTACAGTTCAAGTTCTATCCTACCAGTTTTTGGCACACATTGGAAAAGCCTGCTAACAAGAACTGCTGCAGTAATAGGACCCCAAATGCACTTTGGTTATAAAGGGGAAGTCATTACGTTCTCTGACTTTGTGACAGTGCTCACCTGTCAAAGCTTTCAGCTTCTGTATTGATGACAGAATCTCTATTCGCACTCGAAATGGTAATGAAGAGCCGTAATATCACAGCTCCTATTATATCGGGCAACTGGATTAACACAGACTGAAAAAGAACTCTTATACCTTGAAAATTATTATGGCACATAAATTAGAACAGAGTTCAAATGACCTCATTTGCAATTGTCTGCAAAAATCCCTGAAAATGAGCAGCATGCTCAGAATGATTATACAGGGGACTCCGTGGGAAATGTGGCACTCAAAGAAACATGGCTTTCAAGACCACAATGAGGCGGGCGACTCTGCAACAGGCCGAAACATAAAGGAAATGAGGTGTTGCTATAAGAAGGCTTTATTGTTTGACTGCAATACACTTATCATTCACGTTCTTACTGCAAAATTAAAATGGAATACAAAATGTTAATAAATAGGCCACACACAGTTATTAATAACAGGCCACATATGTATGTGTTCGACACAAACAGCAGTGACACAACAAACACAGACACTCACCGGCAGCAATATGAAAAGGAAACATCGGCTGGGTATGACTCTCTCATCACTAGTGAGCAGCAAACTGCTATGGTCTTTGTTAGTGCAATATTCATAGAAGATAATGTTCCCTAAATATTTTTTTTTTTTAAACAACACTACAATGGAATGAACAAACAAAATAAAATCAGTATACAAGATGATAGAAAACTACTGAATGACCATGGTAATATCAACAATTTAAAGCATGTTCATAATTAATAAATAAAATAAATTTAAAAAAAAAATCAAAACTGATTATCCAGTAACAGAAATTAGTTTGCTACATTGCAGAAGTACCATTTAGCATTGATATTTCCAAAAACGTACAAGAAGGATAATATTTCAGGACACCATAGCATACCACATTCGTTTTGCGGAGCACTTCGATAACGTGGCTAGCGGGAAACAGCAGAAGTGGATTCTCCAAATTGGCTCTTTAGGGGAATTTTCCATATCCTTTAAGTCTCCTGAAGTGGACGCGATTTGAAACTTAGAGCAATAAGGGTGGACTTTTATTTGAAGATTCCTCCTCTTCCTTCAGATTCCATGCCACATCAAAGGGCCTTAGTTTAAAGGTGAGCTTTGCAAGGGGACGGGGCAATTATGGATGTGGTGTGTCTCTTCTAGGACCAGGAGTCTCAACAGTAAAAGAGGAGAGCAATGAGAGCCCAGGTTCTCTAATCACACAATGTTTCAAAAATGCCTGACTTGGTTCAGACTACAAATTATGGTGATTCCAACTAGAAACAGATGAATTCCACGCTGCAAACAGAAAAGAATACCCGGAGATGTGTCCAGTCAAGTCGGCTTGGGTTGGGGTCATGTAACCCTTAACAGAGCCTCGGTAGTCCAGAATCGGTGTAGAACAGCCAAGGAAGTGGTAACACCTGTTTGTATGCAGAGTTCCAGTCTCTCTCCGTAAACATGCCTCACTTCAGGTACCACATGGATTAGATTAGATTCTCAAAGACGACTCTTTTGGTGTGAGTCCTTGCAGGATTATTACCCAGGATTAAAAGCATTCACTGCTGAAGTAAATTTAGCTGCCAGCTAAAACAAACATGTTTCATATTTGAGCAAAATGATTAACTTTGAAGTTTGAAGTTTAAAAATCAAACTCAACAGCTTCAAGCCCATTGGTTCTCCAGTGAAACTTCTTATGTTAAATAATCTCAATGATGAGATATAACCCATCTGCCAAGATGATTTGTTTTAATAGACTCAGCTTCCTGGCCATTAACTGTTGAGAAAAATATAGAACTAGCCAAATTTCAATAAAAGTATGATATGGGTTTTGTTCTGGTCAATCAAACTGCTGCAGTAATCGATGCACTGTTAAATCACTAAAGCTTCCATCTTTAGGCTTTCATATTTTTTATTATCAGTAGAAAAATATACTGTATACATTTGAAGTTGTACACAAAATAAAATGAAAACAAATCTCTGTAAGTTGAGCAGTTTCCCTAGAACACTGTTTACAAACGCAACGTAAACATTAATCAAACAGCACTTTCATAGAAAGTGAGACACTAAGGTTACTAACACGAGGCTGGGACCTCAGAAGCACCTGACTCTGACAGACCAATCAGGAGCCCCAGCCCTGCATACAGGGGGCGTGTTCTATGTATTCTCTCAGCTGTTATAGATGCAATGAGAGGTTTGAATCGATAAGCAGAAAAAAAGAGCTTAGACCTGTTGTGAGCAATGAATCTTAATGAGTCACTAAAGGTTAGAAAGTACTCTTTGTTTTCTGTCTTTGGTTTAATGAGAGAAATGGATCCCACAACCAGTATATGGGGGTTGGAAAGGTGGGGGGGGGGGGGGGGGGGGGGGGGGGGGGGGGGGGGGGGGGGGGGACGCGCTCAGGTGAGGGGAGACAGGCTCTAAATCATCACCATTAGGTGTGGTATCAAAGAATGTCAACAGCGCATGAAGGAGCTGATAGGATGTGTGTGGTGCAGCTGAACGAACGCCCTGACATGAGGCCGAGGAAATAGCACTAATTGTCATTTCTTGGTGCTGAAAGGACAGCTCTCTACATTGTAGGAGAAATTTGGAATCTGGAATGAGGTGTTCAATCTGTGTGATAAACAGCACTGTCTCAGAGCACCCATTCAATCTCAGTAAGTAAATGAAATATTGATTGAAAGTGACCCCGAAACAGAATGCATTAAGAGACACACAATGCTGCAGGACTGAGGTAATTCTGTTTCGCTGCTCTCCCAGCCTTCTACAGCAAAGCAGGCCACTGCACAGCTGCCACTCACGAGGCTGGACGGCACGCACAAGTGTTCCTCCTGTCTGCGGCAGTCACACTGCTAACGGCTAGCCGCACCCACCCAAGCGTGCTCTACGGACGGCCTGATTCACTGCCACGAAGCCACCCCCCCCCCGACATATCGGTCCCCTTCACATACACATGAAAGAGTTAAACGCTAACAAGTCCCTTTCCTTGTCCTGGTCATTTACCTCAACCTTTAACATGTCAGGAATCCCTTTGTCGCTCACACAAGCAGCTCCTTTTACTTATCTGAGCAAGATGGTGATAGAAGCGACACAAACTGATTCCGTGTCAATGGTCACTTAAATCTCAGGCTGGAAGTCACCTTTTTTTTTTTTTATAAAAAAAATATATATATACTGAAAAGATATTTGTTTTCCTTAAACCAGACAATGCAATGGTTACCTCTTAATGGCCCCAATGAGCTGTTTCAGTGTTGACCAACAGCAGCGGTGGGAGACTTTGAGGTATCATTTATTGTTAATGTATTATAAATGAACTGAGACTTGTGGCATGCAAGGAAAAAATGAGACGGGAGACAAGTGACGCTACATGATGAACTAAGCACATTTATAATGATAAAATGAGTAAATATAATAGCCGCAAAGCTAACCACTGATTTTCACGATATACACTATTTGTCAAAACTTGCACAGCTACAGAATTGTTGACGATAGTCATTACCAAGTAACACAGTTTTTACTACAGCTTTTTTTTTTCTCTTTCATTAACAAGCAAATCATTCCCCTTAAAAATAACTCTAAAATACGTATTAGAGACTTTAAGAAAAACAACGTCTAGATGAAACAACAGTTCCAATGTTTAAAAGGAAAATTGGACTACACTTACAGTTTGACAGAGAGGACTTCTTAGGAGTGAAGGGAGAAGACAAGGGAAAGGCAGGTTATCTTTTCAGGCTGTCTCTATGTCCAAACGGAAACTGCACAGCAAATCAATATGAAATGAGGAGTCCATATAGTTCAATGAACAAAAGGGACAGTTCATGAAGACAGATCACAGTTCAGAAAGAGGCTGGACGAGCCGGGTAGCAGAGCTGTTCTTTGACTGGCTGCACAGGAAGAGCTGTCTGGATGGACGGAATCAATGGGCTGAAGTTGAGATGGAAGGAATTCTTGGTTTAAAATTCAATTTTTCAACCGGATGATCCAGATGATTTTTTTTTGTTTGTTTGATTGTTTTGTCCATTGAATTTAAGACTGCATGCACATCATGAAGGACAGCAGGCGTGGGGCAACTCCACAAGTGCTCAGAGAGCAGGCAAACTCAGGTGAGACAGGTGGAGTCAATGGCCGGGACAGGTAAGCACTCGGGAACAGAAAGAGGGAGCTCAGGTTGAGGTGGGGCGAGAAGGCAGACTGAAAAAATGACCTATTTCAAGAGTGAGGGTCTCACCCACTAGCTAGCACTTTTTCGAAATAAACTGCCTCTTTTATCGCTTCTTTGTTTTCTTTTCTTTTTTTTTTTTAAAAAGCATGCAGGAAAATACTCTGTGGTTTCGGTGACATAAAACTGCTCCACGTACATGCAGGTTACGGAGTAGCATCGACGGCACGGGGCTGGGGCGCCATGCTTGCGAGCCCCTCTCTATGGGGCAGACGGCTAACATCACAGGTAGCTTCACAGTAAAGTCTACATTCACGAATACTAATGTTTCTAGTGTTGACAAATTATATATATCCAAATAGAAGCTCTTAAAATGCAACACGCATCACCGAGCGTGCACTTAATTAAAAAATGTCGTTTTTGTTGGCACTTTCACATTTTCTCCCTTATAAAATCCCCGATCCACTGCATCAACAGCGATCTGTCTGAACGTTGAGGGTGCTCATGGAGTAATGGCAGGGTCCTTGGCCAGGGAGGAACACCAGCAGTTCCTTTGATAGCGAGGGCAGTTGGGGTGGGGGGTGGGGGGTACAATCGTAGAGGCCTTCCTTACAGATGGCCGTTAGCAGAAGTTGGAGGGGGAGGGAGTGGGGGTCCCTGGCCAGGCAGCGTTCCCCAATGGTCTATTTCAGAGGGAAACTGGTGCTTTTGCTGATTTGTAAACTTACCAAATACAATAATCCACAGTTTTAACCTTAAAATATTTTACAGTGCTTTTTGCAACTATATTGCTTTTTTGTTACTTAATCCTAGAAGGTCGTCTCCTACTTCTCTACGTCCTTATGTAAGAAGTAAGACTGCTTCGACAGAGCTTGGCCGCGCTCTTTTCCGGACGCGAGCCCAGCCACACCCCACCTAACAGCAGTTCATGTATGCTTGACTCCTAGTTCTAACTAATACTGAAAACTACACGCATATCCCTGTACATTCAGTTGTTGTTTTTCTTTTAAAACTACAATAATGCTGGTAAACTGGCAGGCTAAGATCTTCTCACACTAGAAACAATATACAAATATACACAAGCCAATTAGAGAACTAAAACATACCAAGAAAAGTTCTTCCTGATAAAACACATTATTTACATGTACACATCTTAAACATAATTTCATTCATTTGCATATTATATATTAAAAGAAAAGACAAACAAGAGAACAAAAAAAACAACATAATTTTACTTCAAAATACAGTACATCCTTCTGTGAAACGATAAAGTGAGATCTTACGGAGTAAATCGAGGTGTTAACCCACTTTCTGTGGGTTGGCAGCTCGAACCCCTTGCTCATATGTGATTCGCTGCGTTATCAAATACTGCGCGGCCTGCGTGGCGGCTGGCGATCCGGTTATCGTTACCTTGCGATTCCTTGTGCCGGGCACGAACTCCCCTTTTTTGGAGATCTGTATTCTTGCACCAGTCAATTCCTGGTATTCTACTAGCGTTTTCCCGCCTTTTCCTAATATCGCACCTACCAGGTTTTCCGGCACAGCGATTTCCACCACGTCCTTGGAGCCGTCCGTGGTCTTATCGGTGGCCAGGATGGCACTGGCCGCGAGTGGAGCCGCAGCGCCAAAGTATCCATTGGTGGCAGCAGTGGCAGCTGCCAAGCTACCTAACGCGAATGTGCCTGCGGAGCCGCCCGTGGAGCCCGCGCTGGCCGAGGCCTCACTCGCATAGGTGGCCAGCAGGTTTGCTGCCGCTGCTGCCGCTGGGTTGGCACTCGCGGCCGCTGCGGCCAGAGCCCCGGTAGCTGCCGCCTGGCTTAGACCCAGCCCCAGGGTGTTGAGGTTGTACCCGTAGCTGGCTAAAGTATTGAGCGCCGAGGTGATGGCCACCAGATCGTTCCCCGTGAACCCCGACAGCACGGCGGGAAAAGCCGCCACCCCCGCCAGATTGGCGTGTCCCAAGAGACCCGCGGCGGCGGCGGCCGTGGGCAGGACCTCAGCAGTGTTGGCGTAGGGGGAGCCGGTAGGGTTGGAATTGGCGACGGGCCCTGTCACATTAGCGTAGCTGATGTTGAGGCAGCTGCCGCTCTGAGGGTCCTCTTGGATCTTCTGAATGATGAGTTCCACAGCTTTTCGGTTCTGCTCGGGCTCACCGCTCACGGTCACTACCCTCTCCTGAAGGTTGATCCCGTCGGGCTTCTGGGAGAGCTGCACCCAGGCTCCCGACTGCTCCATTATAGCCTTCACAGTGGCCCCGCCCTTGCCAATAATCAGCCCCGCTGTGCTGTTGGGGACTATTATTTTTACCTGCGAAGATGGAGAAGGACAAACCAAATAAACGACTGGCAAGTGAGACCATAGCTTCTTGAAGGTTCTCGTGGAATTTAAAAAGTTATAAAAAATAACGTTTTTGTTTCATACCTCAGTACTAGAGATTTATTTTAAGCATTTAATACAAATTAATGGCTTTGCAAAAGGGACGGCAGGTACCATTTGTGCAGCTTTCAGAGAGAAAATAAAATTCTACTACCCTAGGGCCTTAGGCAGAGACCCTGTCACAGGAAGGCCTGTTAAAATAGCAGAAGGCAGGAAGATAAATTATGAGTTAAACCATGACTCAACGAGCAATTCTGTATTTTCATTTAGACCATACTCATGTGAAAGGACGACAAACAATTCAGGCCCCTTGCCATATTAACTAACTTGCTTGCAATTTTAGTTTGGTCTGACAATGACATTAACCCGATACTAACTACATTTGGATTGTTTTTGAGATTGAAAAGGTTTGCAGTACTGAAAGCATTACTACAGTGGAAGAAACACACTCCATCCCCTTTTGGTCACGTGAGGAAGATAAGAGTTCTTGACCAGAACTCACGCAACATGATTTCTTGACAAGCAGAAGTAATTATCAGTTGCTAGTTGTGAACAGCAGGAGAGAGGAGCAGTGCCAGAAGAGGACTGGGTGACGAGTAAGAGAGCTGGAAGCACAGAGTCAATCATCATCTGCTTCCGAGCAGGTTGGAGCCAACAGTCCGACAATAACTCACTGCGTGATTTCAAACATCCTGAAAATACAACAATGTAATCAGCATTCTTCTGTCCCGACTCTCTGTAATCTATCAGTAATAATTCAGAGAGCATAACTTCAGTACTGTTAGGCTACTCTGAATGAAACACCAGATTCAAAAAGAACTCTGAAGAAAGTTATCTATAAAGGAGCTTCAATGGTGAGTCTTGGCAAGAGGAAGGAACTGTGAAAAGGGGGTCGTTTGTTGTGACGGATCTCGGCTTCAGTGGCGAATCTTTGAGAGCACGGGAATGACTGCCTGCAGAGGCATCATTACAGAGAGCAACATGCTACCGCTGCAGATCTGATTTCCGTACAACTAACAAAATATCAACGACAGTTTAATTGGCTATTGTGCAAGCTGTCACATATGCCACTGATGTATTATTTAAAAACATACTTTAATAAACCTCACAATTAGATGAAACAATCTGGTTACAAAGTAACAGAAGTACTTCCATACTGCCATACTCCCTGTAGAATTAGTTTTTCTTTGGCAAATTTCAGTAAAGCTGAACAGTTTAATTTAACAGTCTACTTATTACTAACTAGAAGGCTAGACGTCGTTATTCCAGAAGATATTTTTAACTTCCAGAAAAGCTGGAAAAAAAATGTAATCAAAAAGAAAAAAGGCTGGAAAAAACTATGTCCACAGGCTAAAGTCTTCTGTGTTGCAAAGTCTGCAGTAATTCTCCATCTGTCACCAAAGCAGGACTGTGGGAAACGGCAAGTAATGGAAGCGCAGTAAATGCGACGACGCGTCGGACAGAGGCCCAGAAAGTGTGCCGGTTAATGGTGGAAGCTCTCACTGCTGGCCAGTAAAGGCACGGCTCTTGAGTCATACTGCAGCAAAAAAAAAATGCTCCCTTCAAACATTAAGAATCATCACACACGTGCGAAAGAAGCCTTGTATGTACAACCACACAAATCATGCATACAACCACATTCCTAAGCCACTCTTGCAAAGAACGCCTATACACGTTTAAAGGCTTCTGGGAAAATGTGTACACTCCAACTTTCAAACATAATACAAACTCAGATTAAGCACAGAACCTTGGGGACTTCATTTTATAGTCTTCAGTAAAAAAAAATTCAAATCCCATTTCTGAAGCCCCATAATATAATAGGATTTATGTTCCATAAGCAGTCCCATAATTGAATAAGGTTAGATCCACCAAAAGCCGGGACACCATAACACCTATGTCTGTGGTCTTCAGCTGTCGTCCCCCAGAAGACAACCGCACTCCCTCGTCTGAACGAACTGGTGGCAGGAGGACATGGCTGGGATGAAAGGATGATACTGTACCTGGTTGGCCCTGGAGGTGGTCATGTGATCAGATGGAGAGGGCTTGGTGGTAGTTGGGGAGGATGGCAATGTCTGGGAACAAAGCAGTTGAGCACAAATCACCAACCAGTGAGCGAAACACATTCAACGCTGCACACTCACATATCAGAGAGATGTACAATTAACTCAAAAGATTAAAGTTCTTCTTTAATGTAATATTCAAGGCATACGGTCACTTATTAACAATGATCAGACCACACTCTAAAGGCAATTAGAAGTTTGCCAAAGAATGTAATGACGGTGAACTGTGATGGTGACATGAAGCAATGTGCATGTGTGTCTACATCCTGCTCTGCACAGGGTCAGCTGCTAGCCATGTTCACAATGCACAAACGCACCTGAAAACTGTATGGCAGATGGAGACAAGGGTCAACCCTTTGATTCCATACAAATCCCAATAAGCATTCATATGGTGCTTCCTCTAAAAAGGTCTCAGAATCAGAACATGGTAGTTCAATTGCCCACTCTTCAGACACACTGACATGCCTGTTCTACGCGCATGTTTGTATAAAAGGTAGCAGGCTAAAGTGAGGAGTTACATGAGCAAATTATGCTTCAATAAGAGGATTATTCGCTGTACAATTGTTGGGGTTTTCATGTGACCCTATTCTCATTACACTTAGCATTGACTGTGACTGTCAAGACGTTTGCTGGGGAACTACTGAAGTGGCTTTTAACTCCAGGAAATTACGGTTTCAGATGTCTCGCTATGGATGGACTATGATGAATTCCTTTTTAACAACAATAAGTACGAACATACCAAAGTAGGACAGGCGCAGAGGGAGGAGAAAAGTCTGTATAAAACTGTGTTGAGCCTCGTGCTGTGCGTCCTGTGTTACGTTCAGTGGAGCAGGCAAGGCCAGGTGAGATGTTCAGGTTTGTGACGTTCAGTAGGCAAGGCCTGGTCAGGTGCAGGTGCAGAGAGGTAGTGGATCAACAACCTCAGTGGTTCCAAAAACAGCTACAACCAGCAGGTTTGGGGTACACCGAGGGTCAGGGTACATTGTGATTTTGGGGTATAGTTTAAATACGGGGAATACAGGTACCTACTGAGGTTTGGGGTACACCGAGGGTCAGGGTACATTGTGATTTTGGGGTATAGTTTAAATACAGGGAATACGGGTACCTACTGAGGTTTGGGGTACACCGAGGGTCAGGGTACATTGTGATTTTGGGGTATAGTTTAAGTACGGGGAATTCGGGTACCTACTGAGGTTTGGGGCACACCGAGGGTCAGGGTACATTGTGATTTTGGGGTATAGTTTAAATACGGGTACCTACCGAGGTTTGGGGTACACCGAGGGTCAGGGTATATTGTGATTTTGGGGTATAGTTTAAATACGGGGAATACGGGTACCTACTGAGGTTTGGGGTACACCGAGGGTCGGGATACATTGTGATTTTGGGGTATAGTTTAAATACGGGGAATACGGGTACCTACTGAGGTTTGGGGTACACCGAGGGTCGGGATACA